GCCTGCTTCTCCCTCTGACCCTCTCCCCTCTCATGCTGTTTCTCTCTCTCTCTCTCTCTCAAATAAATAAATAAATAAAATCTTTAAAAAAAAAATAATAATCTTAAACAATGCCTAGTATTTATCAGTGCCCAAAGTGTACAACATGCTTTATGCTGTTGCTTTTCTTCTCTTCCAGCTGACTTCTTGCTCTCTCTACAAGTCCTTTTGGAGGAAATACAAGAACCTGGTTTTGAAGACAGACCCTGTCTTGAGAGTTTCTATCATCTTCCTCCTTGATGAGAACCCCAGGGACAGCGCTTACCACTCCCATCATGGCTCACCAGTAGCTCCCATTTGACACATTACAGAAGTTAACACTTAGGACTTACAATGAGTATCAATTGAGACCAGGTGATGACTCAAGGCCACAAAAATAAAGAGAATGGCCTTATTTTATTTCCCCTTTTAGGGTTTCAGTTTCCCCCTCCGCAGTGACTTTATCATTTGTGATTGCCGAGGACATTCTAAATGCCACACTCATCTGCCAGTTTAAGTCTCCCTCCCCCCAGGAGGACCGAACCTCAGGTAAATATTTGGGACCAACTGTGTGTCACACATCATGCTAGGAGTGTTGGGAATACAGCCATGAACAACAAAAACGTCCCATGCAACATTCATATGCAATGGAAAGAGGGGGGCAAGGATAATCCTAAAAACAGGGAAAACTTCCTAAGAGCTGACATCGTGGTTTTGTTTTTAATTACGAGTAACAGCACGAGCAGAGAACACAGAACAAGGGGGGGCAGGGGGGGATTGCATTCAGCAAATGCCACATCAGCTTCTGGGACCTGAAGCTGCCAGATTCCTAGCCCCGGGAGCTAGAGAGACGAGATTAACTTGATCTAGAAAGAAGTTTCAGAGCGCCAGCCGCCGGGTCTGAGCCCCACGCGCCCAGGTAGTCGGGACCTGGAGGGGAAACTGCGAGGCCAAGATGGAGGAGGGGCTCGGGAGGAGTCGGCTCGGGCGCGAGAACCTCGTGGCTCGCTCCTCATGGCGCCAAGCAGCCTTCCTGCTCGGCGCTCCCGGGCCCTGGGAGGCAGCATCCCACGTCGCCAGACGCGGCGCGCACGGCCCCAGCTCGCAAGCTCCCCTGCAGGAAGGAGCCCGTGCTCCCACCGCGAGCCGAGGCTGCTAAATGCCCAAGGAACAAGTACCCACACCTTAAAGGCAGCAAGGGGGGACCGAGAAAGAAACATCTGGGAGGACTCCACCCTTCCCCACCTGCAGAAAAAGCCCGGGATAAAGCTAAAAGAGCATTTCCCTAGTTTCTCCTTGCCTTGCTGATAAAACAAAGAGAGGCACGTAGGAGGGTCGGACACCCAGACGATGACCCCTTTCGGTGGACCCAAGACGCGTAAGCCCCGGACACCGAGGAGCACGGAGCCAGTACAACTTTCTCCTTGAAGCCGGCCACGTTTCCTCTTATAACCATAAAAATCAGAAGCCCCTGCTATTAACATTTCGTTGATGTCACCGCACCTAGTTGGCGCTCAGCATTTTCCCCAGAAAGCCCTGCAATCCCCAGCCCAAGACGGACTCCCGTCCCCGGGACGCCGCCTCGCGCGTTCTCGCAGCCCTCCAGGTCCGGCTCCCCGGCTTGCCCCGCCCTGGGTACCGGGGACCTCCAAGCGGGGCTGGGGCGCATCAGGGCTCGCCGGCGACCCTGCCTAAAACCCTCTCCCCCACCGTCGGACGCGCAAAACAATAAGCATCCGCTTTCCCAGCTGGTCGCCCATAGGAGCCGGGCCACGAGTTACCGCAACGGAGAAGAAGAGCGAGCGGGAGCGCGCCAGCCCCGCGACCGGGGGTCGGCGGCCCCCTGGGACCCCGATGACCGGAATCCCCGCCCGGCGGGCCGGCCCGCAGTCAGCGCGGGGAAGACTGGGCGCTGGAGC